ATAGCATGATTGTCTAATCTAATATATTGACTCTTTCTCTACATGTTTATCTTTTGTTACCTTATTCAGCATCCCATCAATGGGATGAGTTACCTTCTGATCTATCAATCTGGAAGTTCTATCCAAATAAAGGAAGTGGGTTTCATCTGACATAACTGATCACTTCCTCTTTTTCTTATTGCACATAAATCATCCTTTTGATAATCCATCTTAAAACTCTCTCTCAGAAGGACAGTACATTAATCAGTGACTTGGTCCACAAATCTAAATGTCATCTTCTCAGTAAGGTCTTCTGTTACTACGCTATTTAAAATTGACCACTTCCCTCAATACAATACACTCCTTATGCTCTGTGCTTTTTTTCCTCCATAGCACATGTAATCATCTGACATACTGTATGTTTTACTTATTTATTTTGTTATCTTTTTGCCTCCTTTATAATGTAAGCTTTGTTAGAACAGCATTTTTTGTCAGTTCTATTCCCCACTGTTATCTCATACTTATTGTATGGATATGTGTATGGATTAGTGTCCTCATCCTGGTCAGAAAGTATGTTGAATGTGACAGGGCCAAGCCTAGAAGCCAGTACATTCTACTAGAGATTGCTAACCCCTCAACAGATTGCTACTGACTCTTTGGTCACTTACCGTTCCACTTAATGGTATTAGCATCCAACCGAACTTGTTTTCCCTTTATTCAGAAAGCTACTGAGATAGTTTGTCAATATTTTTGCTGAAATCAGATATTTCGTGTTGGTGGTAACCCTCTGATCTATCAATCTGGAAGTTCTATCCAAAAAAAAAGAAGTGGGGATCATCTGACGTAACTGATCACTTCCTCTTTTTCTTACTACACACAAATCATCCTTCTGATAACCCATTTTAAAACTCTTCCCCAGAAAGACAGTACATTAATCAGTACTGTCCAGGTCCCTTGACTGTCTGGGAGGGAGGGCCCTCCAGGTATGAGATCCTCCTGGACTGGACTCAAGGCATGTTCACAGAGTGAAGGGGTGGAGCCAGTTAGAAGGCTACTGCAATAATTCAGGGATAAGATGACATCTGAACTTAAGCCTTCCAACTCTGCAATGTTCCACCTCCATCATCTGACTGCTTTCCCTCTCAAGGGGAATGTTCAGATGCCATTTGTTATAGCATTAGAATATCATATCCTTTTTTCTGGGCCTCAGATTCTGAAGTCTATAAAGTAAAAATGGTAATATGATTTTCAAAAATATAGTATAATACTTTATCGAATACTATTTGTTTATACTCTTTTGGTTTCGTGTCCAATTGCTACATGCAGACAATAAAGTGCTGAGGCTTTGGGTATGTTTCATGTATTTTTATTGTTATTTGACCTAAGTATTTATACTTCTCTCATCTATTTCTTTTTCCCATTCTTTCTGATACAGCTATGGTTTTGGCCCTTGTTATCTGATATCTGAATTAGCACAATAGCCTCCTGTCTTAGTCATCTAGTGCTGCTATAACAGAAATACCACAAGTGGATGGTTTTAACAAAGAGAAGTTTATTTCCTTACAGTAAAGTAGGCTGAAAGTCCAGATTCAGGGTGTCAGCTCCAGGGGAAGGCTTTCTCTCTCTGTCGGCCTTCTCATCAATGTTCCCCCAGACTAGGAGCTTCTCCAGGCAGGGACCCCAGGTCCAAAGGACACGCTCTGCTCCTGGCACTGCTTTCTTGGTGGTATGAGGTCCCCCTGTCTCTCTGCTCGCTTCTCTCGTTTGTATCTCAAGAGATTGCCTCAGGACACAATCCAATCTTGTAGACTGAGTCCTGCTTTAGTAACACAACTGCCACCTATCCTCCCTCATTAACATCATAGAGGCAGGATTTACAACTTATAGGAAAATCACACAATACCAGGAATCATGGCCCACCCAAATTGATACACACATTTTTGGGGGGACATAATTCAATCCATGACACCTCCTAACTAGCTCCAGGCCTCCAATCTCTTGCCTATCTTAGACCCTTCAATCAGGCTAATTGCCTGGAACCTTGCTACACAAAATGTGGTCTGTGGACCACAGCATCAACATCAGCATGCCCTGGGAGCTTTTAAAAATGCAGACTCTCAGACCCCACTGACTCAGAATTTGCATGTTCACAGGATCCCCAGGCAATTCACACCCACATTAAAATTTGAGAAGCACTGACTGCTCTTTCTTCTACCGTGCCATTCCCCTGGTAAGAGGCATCTCATAAACTTCACGTTGAACCATTCTAAACTATCTCAGTCAGAAAAGAATCCACTTTAATTTTCAGTGGAGCTGTTCTTGCCATGAAGATGTAAATGCCCAGCTATAACATCTACTTATTGGTTGTTATGGATTGAATTGTGTCCCCCAATAAGATGTTGAAAAGTCCTAACTCCTACACCTGTCAATGTGACCCTCTTTGGAAATAGCATCTTTCTTTGAAAATGTTATCAGTTAACGAGGTCATACCAGGGTAGAATGGGTCCTAATCCCTTCTGGAAAGTATCTTATTAAAAAAAACAAACCCACTCATAGTGACTCTGTAGGACAGAATAGAACTCCCCCATAAGGTTTCCAAGGCTGTAATCTTTACAGAACAGACTGCCATATCTTTCTCCCATGGATCTGGTGGGTGTGAACCACCAACCTTTTGGTTAGCAGATGAGCGCTTTAACCACTGTGCCACCAAGGCTCCTTGGTGTCTTATAAAAGGGGAGAACAGACAGGGAGACAGAGTCACGCGAGAGGAAGATCCTATGTGAACATACATCTACAAGCAGCAAAGGAGGGAGGCTGAAACAGTTCCTCTCTCAGAGCCCTCAAAAGGGATTGACATGGGTGATACCCCGATTTGGGCTTCTAGCCTCCAGAACTGAGTGACATTAGATTTCTGGTTTTTAAAGCCATCCACTTCGTGGAACAAAGTTACTGCAGCCACAGGAGACTAAGATACCAGTTCTGAGAATGGTGAGCAAGTTTCTCTAGATAACTTTAGAGCTGCTGTAAGAACCTTGAGGCCCAACTAGAAACTTTTTTCTTCTGGAAAAAGCAGGTTATATTGCTTCTTGGAGAGTGAGAGTTAAGAAACAGTTGGGAAGCGTATGTGATGAATTGTTTGGAAATGTACCTGTTATTTATTGTGTACTTACTGTGTGTTTGACACAAAGACAGGCATTTTATATACTTAATTTAATACTCAAAATAACCCAGTTAGGCAAGTGTTGTTATCCCCATTTTACATGTGAGGAAACTGAGACTCAAAAAGGTTAAGTTGTCCAGAGCTACAGTATTGGTTAGAGTTCAGGCTATACTACAGTAACAAAGATACCCTGAAATACAGTAGTTCAGACAAGCAGCTCTGTCTAAAGGTGGACAGGTGACCCAGGTGGGAGGTTTCAGAGCTCTATGAGGTCATTTGTCTTTCTTCTTTCTTGTTGCTTCGTTATACCCCAGGATGTTGTCCACATCTGTATTGTTGAAGCTGGTCCGTTCCCTTGGAAAGAAGGAAAGAGAAAGTGAAGAGCACGTGATTTTCTTATGAGAACATAATCTGGAGTTTCTGTCTGTCACTTGTGCTCACATTCTGTTAGCCAAAGTTTGGTCAAATGGCCACATCTAGCTTCAAAAGACGCAGACAAGTGTTGAAACTTGGAGAGTTACTTACTATAAGGAAGAATGGGGAACAGATAGTAGGGGAAAATTGTAGGCACTGCTACAGGCACCTAGCTAATTAGTGGGAGAGTCTGGATTCATACACATTATACTACTTCTCATAGTTGATAGTCAGTCAGTGAATGTTTGTTAAATTGAGATACATTGAGATATTACACGTTAGCCTTTTGGTTATTTGAAATTATTTCTTTCTCTTCTTGCCTCCCTGATTACCTAAGCGGTCTGTGCCAAACTATTACTATTTTTAATGATGTTATTTTATTTGTAAAACAGGAAACTAATATTCATCTTCTTTTAGTAGAAATGATATAATAAAATAATCTACCAGTCCTTACAGGTTCTATAGAACCGCATGACATGTGATAATGGGTTAACGATACAGATGTTTTAATGACCAAATTACCATCATTTTCTTTAAAGTAAGTATCTTCTTAGGATAATGCTATTGCTTAAAACATTTCTGATAATTTTGTTTTAGCTGGTAAATCAGTCAACTCTTGCTACAATAATGCTTTGTGATAACTATAAAATCTCAGAGGCATTCAGCAGAAGCATTTAACTCATATGCATGTGGATCTCTGGGGGTTGACTGGGCCTAGCTGGGCAGCTCTGCTCCAGATGACTCTCATCACCCTTCTGGGACAGTAGACTAGCTTGGACGTATTTTTCTTTGGCAATAGCAGAGCCTGAGTGAACAAGTGGAAATATGTGAGGCTTCTTGAGGTCTAGGCTGAGAACTAGCGCAACCTATTTACCTAAGCAAGTCAAGTGGCCCAGCCCACAGTCAAGGACCGTGAGAAATACTCCACCCCTTTAGTAAGAGGATATATAGTCACATGGCAAAGGGCATGAATATAGACAGGGGTGAAGAACTGGGGTCAACAACACACAACACACCCATCCATAGCTAGCATTGCCTTTATAGCAAGTTATTTCGAATATTTACAGTGATGGTAAATCTTTATCTTTTAAGGGTGACTTTGACTTTTTTTTTTTTTGTCAGAGCTAAGTTTGATAACTAAGACTGGAGAATCAGTCTCGGTTTCTCTTTGGCCAGAAAGGTAGCTGTTTAAGTGGGTGACATAAAATATCAAGACTTTTTTCTAGAAGCATTTGGTGGCAAAATAAGTGTATAGCTTTTCAAGGTGACCACTTTGAAGGGATAAAACTCATTTGAACATTTAGTTTTCAAATAGTTTAAAAAAAATAAACCTTACAACTTATATGTTAACACTTTGTTTCAACATTTTTGGTGGAAAAGGGAGTGAGTAAAGGTTCATCCCTAATATCTCCTTTGACTAACTTGGGAAAATATGCTTTGTGTGCAGATTCTCATTGCCAAGTCCCCTCTGGCTCCTTTCACCTCATTTGTCTACACCATCAAGGAGGAAGGCCTGGTTCTTCAAGGTAAGATCCTTAAATTAAGCCATTTCTTTAAGCTAGTCATTGATCAGTTCTGCCCATCGCTGGTGGTAATTGCCACTATGGTCCTGATAGAAGCTACTTCAGGGCAGAATCAAAAGGTAAAATGAATTGATCAATGATATTTATGCTGATGAGATAAAAGAGATTGGTAGTTGCAGCAAGAATTTGACAGAAGATTGAAGTGGGGTTGAGGGAGAACTACAGAAATTTCATTAGCAGTGAGACAACTGGCAGTTCTGCCTGTCACTTCTGCTCACATTCTGTTAGCCAAAGCTTGGTCAAATGGCCACATCTAACTTCAAAAGAGACAGACCAATGTTGAAACTTGGGGAGTTACTTACTAAAAGGGAGAAAGGGGAATGGATAGTAGGGGGAAATTGTAGGCACTGCTATAGGCACCTAGCTAATTAGTGGTAGAATCTGGATTCATACACATTATACTACTGTATGTAGAAATGAGTCTCAAACCAAGCAAGTTAGGAATTGCCAGTGCCCCAGTCCTCCTGTCAGATCCTATGGAGTGAGGAACTGGGCAGTGAGTCTTTCACCAGTTTGGAGAGCTATCTCACTTAGCAGGCTGAAGAACCATCTAGGTTGGTAGCCTGTGGGGTGCTTTGTCATGGCTCCTTACACCCTACTTTCACTGACTCCTTCTAGTTCATCCATTTCTTTTCCCTATTTTCAAGTTTTAGCAGGGCCTTTCCACCCAGGGACAAGACCTCACTGACCTGTACCTTGTGACATGGGCCTGGGACTTGGAAGGAGCAAGTTCTTGCTCAGGGTGGAGCACCACAAGGCCACAACCTAGGGCTCACTGATCTACAAGTGGTGGCTTGGTCCTAGTTGCTGGACACTCTGGTGGTTACTGGTGCCCAACTGCAGGTCTGTCCAGAAAACAATTAACATGAGGGGTAAATGGAAACACCGCTGAACTTAGAAGAATCAGCCCATGGGGTAGATGTCATCTGTTTTGTGAGTTAAGAGTCCCTGCAGAGGATCTCAGGATACACATCTGTCCCCCACTGTCAGGCAAGAGGCTTCACCCACAGAGATGCAAAGGTGAGCATCTGGCCTAAACCACAGGGGAGCAGGGGAGCATGTGCCATCGCTGCCCGTATGAGGAGCATCTGCCCTTTACAAGTTTGTGCATGGGTAGTGTGTTTTCCTAGGTTTGTGGTACAGGATGAGTCCCTGCAATATCCCCATGGAGACCATTGCATTGCAAAGGTCTAGCAGGATTCTATGGGGCAGGCTGGAGAACTCATGCTTCTGACTGAGGAACAGGCTGCAGCCTTCCCTTTCCTTCCCCTTCTCAAATGTCTGCTTCTTAATGGGCCCAGAGAGCAGTGTGTTTGTTTGATGGAGCTGAGCTCCACAGCAGGGACTCTCAGGTCCAGGGAAATTTGGGGTAAGAACTACTGACCTTTGGCTCTTAGCCTTTGACTTATGCTATCCAAGTTCCTTGGTAAATATTTTTTTTTTTTACAATTGCAAATATTGTTTTCTGACAAAGAAGCAGAGATTTTAAGACCAGATTAAGCAAAGGAAACAGCAGGCCCCTTTGTTACATACTCACTAAGGGTGTAGAGCAAGTAAGCAATCAGAAAGCTGAACTTGTATTTATGTAGTGCTTGGTGTGGCTTTTGGCTCTTCATTTTTGGGGCTTTCTTAAAAGATTAGAATTCTAGTAAGTAGCACATTTAGATGAGGATTTTAAGAAATTCTATGGAAGATTATGAGGCAATTTCAGGAGGAAAAGAGAGCCCATTCTGCTCGAACGGCCTGCAACAGCGTATTGAGAGCCCTGACGCGATGCCTGCATCTTGATCCCTGGGCATTTTGGCAACTAGCATTTCTAAGCCTGAACTAACTTGGATAACTTTTGGGATAAGATTTGTGGGAACAAGATTCACAGATTTGCCTCTTTGATGCTCATTGCTAAGCTCATGATTTTTGACAGCGAAGAGGAGGTTGTTTAGAGAAAGTAGAGACCAGAAATACAATGAATTTTTGGAGGTTAAAAATTTACTGCAAGGAATGACTATTAGGAAAAGGTTGGAAAACAGAGGAAAAAGTGAATTTCTAAAAGAGGATGACCTGGAAGTGTGCGTCTAAAAAATAGGAAAATTTCTTATGCTACAAGAACCCCTTACGAGTACATAAAAGCATTTAAGAGACTTCAGAACCTCACCTGGTTGCTTTCCAAACTGCTTTTTGTATCCCACACCCTCCCTCTGAAACTACACCTCTTTCTGAGGTTTTCTGGGGACAGTGGAACCCTTCTGTCTCTATCAGCAATGTCACTGAATGCAAACCTCCGGTACCTCCTTCCCCTTGCTGTGGGGCTCCCAAGACTTTGGAGAAACAAAAAGGATTCCTGCTTCTTAGAAAAATAAGGGCCCTTCTTTATTGGAAAGAACCCTTGAATTTCAATTCCAGCTCTGGTGTGATCTTGAGAAAATCCTTGGGACCCTAGTTTTGTTAGCTTGAAAATGAAAATGTTGGCCTTGGTTCACTGCTTTTCAGACTTGTTACAGCGCTTTGGTGGGTCATGAAATCAAACTAATGGATCACAACCAGCATTTTAAAAAAATGAAATAGAAGTGAATAGAGAATATCAGATTATATCATGCATATTGTACTGTTTCATGAAATGCTTGCTGTATGAGTGAATGAGTGAGAGAGAGAGAACGAGTGCGTGTGTGTGTGTGAAGATTGTGAGTTTGTGTTTGAGGGTTGCTATGTAAAATGCCTTTCTTACTTGGATTGTAGTAATGAGCCTGAGTGATCTCTAGTGGCTCTCCCACCTCAACTTTATCTGATTCTCTTAGGAGGTGGGGTACTTATCATTCACTTAGCTAAGTAGAGCTGTACCCTTGAGATCCCCACACATTGAAACATAAAAGATTGTTTTTGTTGTTGTTGTTGGTTTTTTTTCCTACTCTTACCGCTGACAGAGCTAAAAGACACCTGCACAGTTCCCCAGGTTTAAAGCAAAGAAATCTTTGATCCCTAGGTGGTGACCTTGGAAAGGTACCAGCAGCAGTCCAACGCCTAGAAGCCTTCCTTATGTGAGGGGTTGCTCTGGCATGATTACTCCAAGTTGGTCTGGAGGGTCGTGCTTGGTCTTTGGGGACATATCCATGTCTGAGGGGCAGAGAGACAGTGAGGGACATGCTGCAAGAGTGAAGGCAGCTCCTGTAAGACCAACTAAAAGAGGAGCTGTCTAGCCACGTGTGGCCTGACATTTCAATCTGTGATGGAACCAGCTTGGAACTGTGGGAAAAAAACCATCCCAACAGTCTAGTCCTAGGGAGAGAAGTGGGGAGTGAGGAGGGGATTGTTAGTGAATGTGGGAATGATCCCTCAGTGCCTTTTATCCCCTTAGCAAGCTCCAATCCCCTTGGCAAGTCCCAAGATCCTTACTGGCCTGCTAACCAGGAGGTCTTATAATACCTGAAGAGCTCCTGAGTGTATAAGCAGGGAGAGGGAATAAAAGGCGAGGCCGAAATTTGATTTACCGGCTCCACAGGCCATTCCCCTCACTGAGTCTCAAGGATTAGGATGCTGAGAACAGTCAGCAACTAGCGGCCTTATACCCTTCTCTCCCCTTTGTTCACTGGGATGGGGGAACAATAAAACGGCAGGCTGGAGAGACTGAGAGGCTGGTTAGAGATTTCTCAGGCTGCTTTTTGACACACTTGAAGGAGCCTTTCCATGCTATTGTTGTAGAAAAATAGAAAGCGGAACTATTCTCCTTTTGCAAAAAAAAAAAAAAAAAAGTAAAAGAAAGAAAACCCTCCCAGCATCTTCAGGAGGCCGCCTGGCGCAGGCCATTAGCATGGTAATACCATCCTGTTTGCATTCGTCTTTGTCTGTTCTGCTGTTTTTCCAGCATCCTGGCCTCTCTTGGCTGGGCCCAAGACTCTGGAAATGCTTGCGCTCCAAAGGAGAGGGAGCTGACAGCCACCAGCGCCCTGATTGTTGTTGGGACTCCGAGAGGGACCAAGGCCCAGGCAGAAGGAGAGTTCAGTCCTTTTGTGCAACTGAAGTGGGAAAGTTGGGGTGGAGAAGGAATCCCATTAATCCATTTTTCCCTTTGTCCCTAGAGTTCACCATGAAAGCCCCAGTGCCCACCAAGTAGAAAAGCTTAGAGGTTTGGCTAGCCCAAAGTGAGGCTAAGGTGTGCCAGGACTAAACCAAAAAAACCAAACCCGTTGCCATCGAGTTGATTCTGACTCATAGTGACCCTATAGGACAGAGTAGAACTGCCCCATAGGGTTTCCAAGGAGTGCCTGGTGGATTCAAACTGCCGACCTTTTGGTTAGCAGCCGAACTCTTAACCACTAAGACTAGTGGAGGGAAAAAGCAGGAGTTCTTTGGGAATTTGCTTCAATGGGGTTGGCCCGTAGAAGCCCTTGACTGCGGGAGGGGAGGAAGAGGTTACAGGTGAGCTCCAACTTGATCCACATCTGCTCTGGTGGTGTCCTTTGTTTCCCAGCAAACCCCAAGCATTTTGCCACCCAGAACACATCTGGGACCCCTGAGCCTCTTGCGTCATGGCCAAGAATAGAGATTCTGTAATTGAAAGCAGCCAGGCTCTGTTGCTGATGCTGCTGGAGGCCTAGGGAAAATCCAGGGCTTAGCACTCCCGCAGCCATCCTGGCTTTTCTGGGGCTTCAGGGACTACCCACCCGCGGACTTGGTAAAGAAGCAGATCCTAAAGAAGGGGCAACCAGGGAGAGAGCAGATATTTCTTCAGCGAGGGCTCCTCGTTATTCACTTTCTCCGCCCTACCATCTTTTCCTCAAGAGAGCATTTGGAAAACAAAAGCCAGGATGTTTTAAACCAACAGAAGATAATGGCTTCGCTTCTCAGAGAGACAGAGTGTGTTTTTTGTGTTTTTTTAAAAAAATCGAGATGGGGTATGACAGGTTGAATTTGGAGTCTGATGCTGACCTCTACTAATTTAAGTTTGAATAAGCAGCATAAACCTAGGGCATGGAGAACCTCACAGGAGACCAGGACACCCTGAGAGAGAGCCAGAGAAGGTGTTGGAAACAAGGCTGGTTTCCTGTTTCTCCATCCACCTAGTAGAGGAACTCAAAAGAAACCAGAAAACAAAAAAACAATTTTTTTTTTTTTTTAAAGAGCTGGAAAGTTATGTGCCTTGTCTTTCTTTGCTTTGCTTTTACAGTCGAGAATAGTTGTTTGATGGTGTTTTGAAGCACATCCGAAGAGGCATTAATCTCCTCTATTTGTTCCCTTGTCAGAAACTTGGGTTAGATTCTTCCATCCCATTTTCTTAGTCACTGAGCCAACTGGATGATTTATTGAAAAATTCTCCGCCCCCTCCCCCTCCAATACCACCATGTGAGTTCATCAGATTTCAGTTTGAATCAATAACCCATCTAAATGTTTTCTGCCTGATGGACTCAAAGTGACCTTGAAGATTCTTGATCAGTTTCCATCCAGGTATGGAGGTGTCTGCATGGTCAGTACCTCCCACACACCTGGCACAGACTGGCATTCTTGTAGTAGCCTGGGCAGAGAGCCCTGGGGCTTCATGGAGCAGAGAGAGGTCCAGAGGCCACAGGGAAGGGGAGAGAGCAGGCCTGTCACATTGCCCTCAGTCTGCCAGGTACCACTGCAGCCCCAGAAAGCTTGTCCAGACCCCAGCAATATCCTTCTCTGCTTCCGCCTGCCTCTTGGCACGGGACTTGCTTCCCAGGGGAAATGAGGAAGGACCTCCAGCTGCTCAGTTCCCTTCTGCTCTTTTAATGTTTATTTCACATTCCCTCCTTCCATGGCATCTTCCCACTCTGACCCTCTGCTTTGTCCACTTTTTTACTCTATTAGCCCTCAAAGAGAGATTTTGTTTTCAATGTGGAAAAATATTAGAGCAGTAGAGAAAATACTAATACAAGCATCTATGCATCTAACATTCAGAATTAACAAATTTTAAATTTTTCTCGTATTTGTTTCAGTTTTCTATTTTTAATTCCAGCAGTAAAACTTGACAAAGGTCAAAACTCCTTTGTAGCTATCCCTAGTCCATTCCTTTTCTACCCTATACTCCTTCCCGGAAGTAAAAGCTCTCCAGGGTTTGATGTATATCCTTCCCCTCTATTTTTAAAAACTTTTTTACATATATATAAATCCAAACATAAAATAATGATTTATTTTGAGTGCATCCTAAAATTTGTATAAATGGTTTATTGTTCCACAACTTGCTTCTGTCACTTAATGTTACATTTTTGCAATACATCCATGTTGATACATATGGATCATGTTCTTTCACTTTAATTGAGGTATTTACATTCATTGTATAAATATACCATATTTTATTCATTCCATTATTGATGGAAATTGCTGTTGTTTCTAGCTTAATGAACATTATTGTACATGTCTCTTGGTATGCAGGTTTGAGAGTTTCTCTAGGTATATATCAAAAAATGGAATGGTTGGTTAGAGGTTATATACACATTTTCGTCTTTACTATTATTCCCAAACTGCTCTCCAAAGAGGTCTGTCAATTTGCACTTCCTCCGGAGGTAATGGACCTGTGCAGCTGTGTATAGTTTGTGGTCATGTTTCCATGGTCAGTCTTATGCATGCTTTATGGGTGCCTCTTTTTTCTCTGTCACTGGAGCATAAGCTTTCCAGAGCCTCTGGTGGGATCTTCTGTATAGTGTGTGTGCTTTATACATATACCTCAATGATTAACTGACAAAAATGACTTTACTTCCCCAAAAGTTGACTTCATATTCTTCCCAGAAAGCTTGTAGTCTTGTCCAACACCCTTTTTTAGGTCAGAGAAATGAGTTCCAAAAAGGTAAAGTCAAGTATGTTCACTGCCTCAAATTTAGGTTCTTATCCTCTCCAAGAACTTAGCCTGGACTCCTAAGATTTTGAAAAATCATAAATGAGTTTGGACCATCTTGTCTTCCATCATGGCAGCCCCATGACAACTTATCTCTCAGGCTTCATGGGCCTCTGTTGAGATACACCAGGCCCATCTTGAATCTTGAATCTTCAAATTCTAAGCTGAGATGGATCATTCACACTGATATAGTGATCCTTCAAGAAATTCTGAGCATAGTAGGGTTGTAAGTTTGGTTGTGTGTAACCACAACCTAAGTTAACAGTGGCATACAAGATAGAGGTTTAGTGCTTTCTTGTGTAGCAGTGTAGAGGCATGCATTCCAGAACTGGAATGGCAGCTCTGCTCTACGTGGTTGTCCAGGAACCCAGCCTCTTATCTTGTTGCCCCATCAGACCTTGTTGTCATGATCCAGAATGACTCAGCATCATGTCCTCCATCCAGGTGGCAGGATTTGTGTTGAGTAAGAAATGGTGGTAGGAGGGAAAGGCATCTCTGTTTAAGAATATTACTTAGATGTTACACACATTATTTCTGTGTCTATCTTATTGGCCGATCTGTAGATATATGGCGAGAAAGATTGGAAAGTGTAATCTTTAATCTGTACAGTCATGTGCCTAGCTAAAATTTTGGAATTCTATTACTATAAGAGAGAGGAAGAGAATGAATATTCGATGATACAGCCCTTAAGAGGAGCCCACTGGCAGAGATTAGGCCTTAGGGTACAATAGTACAGACCCTAGGGCTGGCCTTCTTGCATAATGGAGTTATAGTCTTGAAATACAGCACAAATATTATGAGTTGGAAATGCTTTGTGGACCCCATTTATTTCCAGAGTTTAAAACAGAGGAGTAGGACATTACAGTCTGTCACTGCACAAGGATCACACCCAAAAATCTTGGTTCCCTACCCAAAACAGAATCTCCCTCAGACAGGAACTTTAGTGAGTGGTTTGCTAGATTATTCAGTAAGCAAGAAAGAAATTTGAACAAGAGCTACTAGTCCTTATAGCACAAGGCAGAGTGTGAACTTAGGTCCAAAGTCATAAACTAAACACATTTTTTTCCCCAAAAAATGTTTTTTCCTGTCTCTGCTTTTTTTTTTTCTTTTTTTTAACTGGAAGAAAGTATCAGTTGGAATAAGATTATAGAGAAAAACTTCATTCCAGAGCCTGGATTATAGTTAGACTGGATCCACACTTCTCTTTTAGAATCTGGAAGCTATTTGGCTATCTTTGCCGAGTTAACAATTTGCATTTGTGAACATTCCCAGGTAGTAATACCAAAAGATGTTAAATCAATTCAGGTTGTTGATTTTCTTTAAAAACCTTTTCCAAGGACTTGGTGTTCTTTCTTGAATATGACTCAAGCTCTACGTCAGTGAGTTCAGCTCAGCAAGTATTTGTTGAGCATCTATTGTTTGCAAACCATGGTACTCAGGGCTAAGGGATATAAGGTTAAAAAAAAAAAAAAAAGATGGTCTCTGACTTTTAGGAGCTCAAAATCTAGTTACAGGAAACTTACTTAAATATGTGTTATCGAAAGCAACCTGTTACCTAGGCTCAAACAATGGGATATGAAAAGATAGAGGAGGTAGACTCATTCCAGCTAGGAGGGCCGAGGAAGGTTCCTGGGAGTACGTGGGAGATGAACTGGACATCAGCTCCTGAATACTGACAAAAACCACATTCCATTGTCTCTTGACAGAGACCAGTTTCTTTTGCTGTTTGAGGATAAATTTGGGAACATGGGGGAATGCTGATTAGTGCCATGTGATGAATGTTGAATCATGCTGACTAATTCGTTCTAAATGGATTGACTCAATAATAAAGGGAGCGTGAAGAGTCAAGAGTTCAGATCCTGAATTTCACTGTGTGATGAAGGGAAATCACTTAGCCTCTTAGTGCTTCATTTTTTTGTCAAATAAAATGTGCTCATGATGAGAATCCAACAAGTTACCTTGATTAGAAAGTGCTTTATAAACCTCAAGGATAACAGAAATGCCTAACAACAACTGCCAGAACATGCTTGTGCAACCTTGGGTTATTCATAGCACATACAGACTCAACATTCATCACATGCTGCTCGCCAGCGATGCAAACTTCTATTTCCTCACATATGCCATGAGAACCAACGAACAGTGCACTGCTCTCACAAAAACTGACAAATAGAGCAGCTTTAGAAAAATCTTCCTATCTACCTACTGGGGCTTCTGTGTCTTTCTACAACAAATGTCGCCACAGAACTAAGAGCTTGCATTACATACATTGCTCTTTCTCTCTTTTGATATCTCCCCAGCTAGACTGCTTGAGAACCTAGCCTTCCGTGTCCAGATGTTTACTGAATTCTGAAGGCCCCCCAAAGGGCCCAAGTTCTTTTGTTGCTCTCCAAGTCATTCCCCACAGAGACTGACCAATGTCCTGAAGGAGCCTTCAATAGGGAGGATAAATGAAGGCAGATGAAGACATGACCCCCTGAGGCTCCCCCACATCCACTCTAACAAAGGGTCTGAGGCGCAACCTTGTAAGGAGCATTTTGGTCAGCAGTGTCCCTACGAGAGGCCAAGCCTTCCCCACAGGGCTGCTTTCAATGGCTACCATCATAGTGGAAGTATTGGGCATTTGTTAAGAGCTGTGGTGTGCTAGGTATAGCACAAAACATCTAAACCATGGTCTCTTGCCTTTGTGAGAGCTTCCTGGCTACAGATGGCAGCTGGCTTTCTCAGGGGAAACTTTGGGGGGTAGTGGAGGAAGCCAAAGAGGGACACCCACTTCTCTGCATGACCTCTTCCCACAAGCCCAGGCAGCTCCCCTTTTGTCTATAGCTATAGGCAGTCAAGCTAGAGCTGTGGAACCTTAACCCACACCTGTACTGTGTTTCTGAGTGTCTCTGATTTGTGAGGCTGTTGGCTCCCTGGATAGTAGACAGGTTTGTAAGAGGACTGCTGCTGTAAGGAAAGTTTGATTTAGACTGGTGGTGAGAAGTTAGTGCATTTCATGATAACAACTGTTTCTCACACTTTCTCTCACTCTCTCTTTTTTCCTTTTAGGCTAACAGAGGCCATAGGGATCCTGCGGCCTTTGTTTAGAGCTGATGGAGGCATGATTTGTGAAACGAAACAGGACCACGCTGCTTAAAAGAAGGAAACGGAAGCCAACATAATGGGGATTAATTAGTTGATTGCTGTTGAGATGGTAACAGACTTGCCCCTGTACCATTGAGCCAGCGATTTCAGACCTAGCAGGGAAGGTGAAGATGAAGAAGCCTTTGTTCAGGTTTCTAGATCCGTGGGGCTGAAGGCTTTGCCGCCATTGGATGTCAACAGTCATAACAATAATTTGCACTTTTATAGCACCTTTCAACCAGGCACCTCAAAGCGGTTTAACCACATTAATTAATTAAAGCTCACAATCCCCCTGTGGAGAGGAGGAGGATGACTAAGAGGATTTGTAATTACAGGAGGGAACATTTCCGAATAAAGTATTGTCCAACAAATAAAAAGTAGGTGTAAAGGAATTGGGGTCTCCAAAGAGTAACTGATTCAGAAATTAAATCATGCAAAGATGGGGGAGGCTGGGAGTGGGCATGGGCGTGGCTCTTGTGTCAAAGGGAGGTCGATGGTCTCTGAATTCACTGACAGATTTGGATCCAACCAAGAAGCGTAGCATGTATGGTATTAGCGGCATTTGGAGGGTCATTAGCCACATAACTATTGTGGTGTAAATTCAAGTTTCACTATTATATTGTGTATAGACCTGCAGAATAAAGAGTGAGATTCATGCAGTATCTAATAAAGGATGGAATGATTTCTTTAGATTCAAAGCCCAAAGCTAGGCTAGTCAATTAGCAAATAAATCAACTGGTGACCCGTAGGATAATTTAGTCCTGTTTCCAGTAGAACACCCAGCCTACTGGCTCTTAACACCATGAGGCTTCTGACCAAAGCATCAGGCTGCGTTCAGTGCAAGTCTAGGGGTTCCTTCAGAGCTAGGCATTAACTCTTCCCAGTCTTTGGCATTGGGTCTTCCCTTACCCAAGATCTTAGTGTCCCAAGCTGTTCTCTGTAGAATCGCTTTGTACCTCCCCCTCCCTCAGAGATTGTAATTGTCTTGGGGGCTGAAATCAAGTCTTGTCCTATTTCATGCTCTCAGCTGCTAACTGAAAGGTTGCTGGTTTAAGTCCATCCAGAGGCACCTCGGAAGAAAGGCCTGGCGATCTACTTCCAAAAATTCAGCCATCAAAAACCCGACGGAGCACAGTTCTACTCTGACACACGTGGGGTTGCCATGAGTCAGAATCAACTCAGCAGCAACTGGTTTGGTCTTATCATGCCCAACAGAATACTGTGTTCATAGTAGTGCAGACTGATGAACAATGGTTGAATGACTAAATCCTTTAACAACTCGAAATTTGTTGAACATATACAAAGTGCCCAGTGTTAAGGTGAAGCTTGAAAACAATAGGTTATGTACCCTGTCCTTGAGAAATGTATTACAAGGAATGGAAAAAAAAAAAAAAAAAATCTACTACTAACTATAATATAAAACAGAATAAAATAAAGTGACATGATAGACACATGTCCAAGCCACATGCTACAAAGGCAAAAGGAAGAGCTTTTTATTCAGCTAGAGTGGATCAGGGAAGTTACTCCTAAAGGCAAAGCAGGTGTGCTGGGCATCAGCCAAGAAGGATTTTGGTAGACCAGGAAGAGGTAGGGGAGGCTGACATTCCAGACTGTGGTCATTTGTCTCCTTCTGACTGAGGGACGCTTTGAGAACTTGTGGTCTTTAATAGAATGTTTGTGGAAACCAAGCTGAGGTTTTGCAGCTGAGTAAATGTACATTCCCTATGAATTCTTATTACGTGGATCAGCTAATTACAAATATAAAGGGACTCTCTGAGAAGTTAGGAAAGATGTTTTTTGTTCTCTGCAACTATTACTTTGGTATCTCTCCACTTTCACTGTCCATCAAGAAAGGAAAGCTAAACAGTTGATACATTAAAACAGGGCACTCAATGGTGTTCGAAAAAGGTAAGAGGAAGGCATATCTAGATCCCAAATGTTAAAGATTAAATGGCATTCTCCTTGAGACTACTTTTCTGAGCCCAGGAACTGTCTTAGCTCTACACCTAGTGAGTGAGACATCAATGCCCATACTCTCCTGCTCCAGGATCTGGAAGGCTTTTCACCACAAACCGTACTACTGAGACAGGACCTAAGAACCATCTCTGATTGTGCCAAAATTTGCTGCCCTCTTGCCACATCTCTGACACACACACTGTACATACATAATCCTATCTCATCCTCCTAACAATCTCACAATTCTTGTTCCTACTTTACAGATGAGGAATGGAGGCAAGAGGGGTTCAGTCTCTTCCAGAAAGTGATGGAACGTGGATTTGAACTCAGGCAGTCTTACTGCTTCTTTCTCTGTCTCACCCCGCACTCATGTTGTATTTCTGTTCACATGTATTACAACTCTCCTATTTATCCTTGATTCACTGAAGTAGTCAGCACAATACTGTACACATAACAGGGTCTCAGTAAATATTTTCAAATAAGAAAGAATCACCAGAAGCAACACTAGGTTTGATCCTCCAGTGTGAGCAGGGGCTGCAGAGTATCTGGGCAGTGGTGCTGAGAGGCTGAGAATTCAGAGCGACTCCATCGCTGCCTCTTCTCTTTTTCCCATGATGAAAGATAAGGAGACATGCACAGGAAAGTTGCCCCAGGAAATGTTCACAAGAAAGAAGTCACAGGTAGTTTTCTTCCCCAGGAGCTGGAAATCTGCCAAACTGGCACCGCCCATGAGACGCTAGTGAGACGCCCTGTGTTGTTAGTTACTTTTATGGAATTTGGATGTGATTCAGTGATTTTTTTTAGTGGTGTATGTGTATGTATATGTAAATATACCTATATGGTTAAGTCCAACTTTGTCTCCCTAATAGTTCTAGTCTCCTAGCTATTGCGTTGATCTGCTGCATTCCTAGTGAAGACTCAGAAGTGTGTGGTTCTTGTTGGCCCAGAGTGAAGATTTATGGATTAACCCAGAGGTGTTGAACTCTGTACCTAAAGTCTTTTATGTTGTTTGTTGTGAGCAAAGCAAAGACAGAGACAGGATTGCTAAAAGTTTTATCGGCAAAATCTAGTTTGCCAAATGAGAATTTTGGAGATGAAAGATGAGGATTAGCTAGTGAAGGTAGTAGGGGAGAGGCAAGGGTAGTGCAAAATATCTGATTCTGTCCTGGAAAAAAAAAAAAAAAGGGTGGTCTTAGAACCAGTTGGGAGCGTCATTTTTTTCCAGGATTTGTCATTTTTTCCAGGCTTTTCAATATCTTCACCATCATTTTTGTCCTATGGCTGTGAAAGGACTTTATTCTGCTACAGAATTCCAGAAGCCTCTTATGCTCAAATGAAAGAAAGAGCCCATCATACTTCTCAGCCAAATATCCTAAGTGTGAGAGAAAGCACATTGCCTATTTCTCTGAATCTCAGGGTTGAAATGGAGCACAGGTTCTCCAGAACTCCAAATAGATCTGTGAGGAGGGAAGACCAACAAATTACTGGGTGTAAGTCAGGACCAACTTGATTTTGCTGCATAAAGAAAGCCTCACCCCCAAGTCTCAGTGACTTAAAACAAAGTCTGCACATGTATGAGAGACACTCCAGGAAAGCTCTCCTCCACATGATGACTCAATATTGCATTTCAGTATCAACAGGCACTTCCTACAGTCACCACAGCAGGGGAAGAGAGAGAGGCTGAGCACTAGCAATTAAGTGCTTCTCCCAAGAAATGACACACATCACTTCTGCTTTCATGGCCAAGCTGTTACATGCCCACTTCTAACTTCAAGGAGGTGGGGAAGTACACATCTCCTCTGTATTTAGATTGGAAGGGAAGGAGAACTAGATGTCAGTGAATGCTTGTAATGTCTCCCATGAACTTCAGTATTCAGTGGGCTGGCAAAAGTTTCCTTCTTCACATTCACTCCTTATATATGTCTTTCCTTTGGATCACCTGGCATACATTGAAGATCTATGAGGCAGTGTTGAGGAAAGGAGACCAAATAGTTTTCCAGCCTGTATCCAGGAAAGACCAGTTAACTCTGGATACTTTACCCATAGAGTTACCAGACACTGACAACTCTGGGAAAGGATAATGGGTTAAAGGGAGCTATGGCCTGATTTCAATAGTACATCTAAGATGGAAGAACTCATTTTGAGTTGCCCGGGACCATCATGCTTTGTGTGAAAAGTCTTTTGGAAATGTGCCTTTCCGCCTCCATTCCTCCCCTTGTTACCAGACATGAGTCAAACTCCCTCTAAGCCCTGTGGCTTTTCCAGAAAGCAGCTCTCCCAGCAGCCGAAGACACACACACACACACACACACACACACACACACACACACACACACAGAAACTTTCCCTTATTATTCTTCCAATAATGAATTCCTGTTCTGAGTGAGCTGCCTCCATGTGTTTTCAGTCAAGTGCTGATGGCAGCCTTGCCGGGGGACATTTCCAAGAGCCTGTGAACATAACAGATGAAGTCTTGTATGGACAAGAGCTGCTCTCGTTTTTTCTTCCAGTTTAGCTCTCCTGAGCCCTGAAATCAGAGATGTGAAATGATTCAAGAGATCTTGTTGGTGAACCAACATGGCTGCCACACCTTGCTCCTTTTAAATAGGCAAAAAGTACTGGTTTTAAAGCTTTCCTCATAGAGATTTGTAGACCTGAATCTTAGCAACTTAAAAAGGACTTAAGTTTCTCAGACCAGCCCAGTTCTTTGTAGATGCCAAGACTTTCTCTCTTTGGGACTTAGACATAGTATTGGCCTACCCTGACATCATGAGAACAAAGAGATCACACCATTTCCTGCCTAAAACCTAATCTCAAGTACACAAAATACTTCCAAGCAAGCAATGGTGGTAGACCATGTTTGTTCAGGGAACTAGCCTACTCATTCTCCCCAAAGTAAATGTCTTCAGATAATAATTCAGTTTTTGACTTACCTACATGGAACTTGTACAAACTGTTAGTTGTACGAGTTGGGCTCTTTTCATTGAGAAAAAGAGACTTGGTTATCTCAAGTAAAAGGGGAAGTTGTTGTTAAGGACATAGGTGACCTGGAATTAGAACTGAATTGGCATGCCTTTAAGAGCCCTGGGGATTCATTACCCTGATGTCTCTGCTTCTCTCTGCATGCCTGCCCAAGGCAACTTTCTCTCCAACACATTTGCCTGCGTACTGTAGTTCTGCTTACTCAACACTTCACCTTGCATATGGCTCATTCTGGTGTCACTAGCTCCTGTCCCTGTGCCCCAGCCTTTCACCTCAGTTCTCCTGTCTTTTTTCCTTGGTATTTTATAGTTAAAATTCTGAAAAAAGAATCTATTTGGCTCAGCCACATCATATTGTTTTGTCTCAGACCACATCATTGGTCACTAGCCAGCCAATCAGTTGTGGGCTGAGGGAGGAATGTATTGCCAAAAACATGGCTGCCTAAGCAGCAGCAGATGTGATAAGGTAGCTTCCATTAGAGGGGCTATAAGAGGATGAGATAGTGGACTGTAGCGCATTCTTTGTACTGCAAGTTGAATTGCTGCAAGGATACCCATTCTCTCTTGGCACTTCCTCTTTCCCCTTCTCATCACTGTAGACCTGGCCCCTTCATAGC